CTCAAGTCCACTTCACTTTGGGCAAGAAAGATTGCTTCATCTGCGTATCAAAGGTTGTTAGTAAGCCTTTCTGCAAATCTGATGCCACATTCTTCTTCATACAGCCCAGCCTCTCTGATTTTATTGCTCAGCATACAGACTGAATAAGTGTGGTGAGAGTACACACCCTGACACACACCTTTCCTGATTTTAAGCTAGGCAGTATGCCCTGGATCTAGTCACACAATCACCTCTTGACCCATGTGCAAGTTCCACAGGAGCACAATTAGCTGTTCTGGAATTCCCATTCTTCTCAAAGCTATGCATGGTTTGTTATGATCCGCACAGTCACTTGTCTTTGCATAATCAATGAAACAAAGTAAACATCTTTTTGGTATTCTCTGTTTTCAGCCATGATCCATCTGACGCCGGTAATGCTATCCCTTGTTCCACGTCCTATTCTGAATCCAACCTGAATCTCTGGCAGCTCCCTGTCAATGTGTTCCTCCAACTGCTGTGGGATGATCTTAAGTAAAGTCTTACATGTGTGTTGTATTAGTGACATTGCTCTATAGTTTGAGTATTCTGTTGGGTCGCTTTTATTTGGAATGAGCGTATACATGGATCTCTTCCAGTCAGTTGGCCAGGTAGCTGTCTTCTAAATTTCCTGCCATAGACAAGTGAGTGCTTCCAGTGTTTCATCAACTTGTTGAAACATTTCAATTGGTATTCCGTCAGTTCCTGGATCCTTGTTTTTAACTAATGCTTGCAGGGTAGCTTGGATTTCTTCTTTCAGTACCATTAGTTTTTGATCAGATGCTACCTCTTCAAATGGTTCTTTTTGGTACTGTGACTATATATTCTTTCAATCTTTTTCTTTTATCAACAAATTTATTGGCATATAATTCACATATCAGTCTTTCATTTTCTTTTGTTGCTGCCTGAATCATTCAATACTTTGGCCATAGAATCTTTCAGTATTGCCACTCGGGACTGGAATTTTTTCTTTACTTCTTTCATTTTAAGGTATCCTGAGGTTGTCCTTCTTTTTTGGTTTTCTAACTCCAGGTCTTTCCACAATTCATCATCAGGAAAGAGAGCTGCATGCATGAAAATATGTAGGGCATGCAAAAGACTTTCTAAATTCATGCCTTCCTGCCTTGTGAACTTTGGCCTATCATAAACATAATAATACTCCACTTCTTGGATCAGTTAGGCCTCAGAGGTGAGTCAGAATTCACATGAATTTTTTTAATGAAGTTGACAACATGATGGGTGAGTCAGGAGCAATTGTATCAGCTGCCGATTGCAATACTGAGTAAGCAAGCACTTGACAAGAGATCTAATTAAACAAGGTGCAAATCGCTGCTACTACATGGAAAGCTAGCATGACATGGCAGAAAATAAATGACAGCATTCAGGAAGGGCAGTGCTTACCTTCATCGACTTCTCGTTTGATCAAAAAGGAAGGAACGAGAACAGCAAACACAGGCTCCCCCGCCTCAGACTTTCCGTGCAATGGAAAGTGTAAATTGAATCAGGGTTGGAAATGCTAAAGGTCACAGGCGGTTGCTTTCATTCATATCCAAGCAAATGCATCATTAGTATTGTTAAACTGACACAAACTTCAGTCAAATATTGAGAACAATGGATCTGGCAGCTGGCTACTTTAATGGCTCAATTCGTAATTAACTTAAAGAGGCTGGTATTGCTAGTTTATGTGATGATTTAGCGCATAGAGGTGGCTTCTGAAAACCTAAACTATTTCTAAGACTAAAATGGAAAATAATACTTTTTTTTCCAGAAACAGGCAATATCAGAATGAAAGGAGGTGCCATGATTGACTGAGCATAGCACCAAAGTAATGCTAAAAGGAGAAAAGTTCCATTTATCAATGGATTTCTCTGTATTGCACAGAAAAAATAGATTGTGAAAACTTTTTAGAAAAGCTTTATCATCTGGTAGGAGACCTAGTGATTCCAGGTTTCATACCACCGAAAGGATGAGGCTTTCTACTCTCCTAAAAACTCAGTCTGGGAAGCGCAGGGGCACTTCTAATCTGTCCTATGACGGTGGCTGTGAGTCCCAATCAACTCAATAGCAGTAAGTGAGAATCACCTGGTGGTTTGGACACCTTGGATAAATATTGCTTTTATGTGCTCTCATTTCCTAACTTTCTAGTTCTGCAATAATCGGGCCAACAAGCACTCTTGCCCTCACTCCCCGCTTCAAATCCTCATCATAGGACTATGAAGGTACACATTTCTAAAGGCCACGGTAATGCATTAAGTAATTGTTTTTATACCTTGAGGAGCAAAATCTTATTTTGAAATCGTTTCAGCCTGTTCCTCAAATGCTTGGCCTCTGTGTCTTAATCAAGATCGGTGACTTTCATTGGGGACATGATGTGCATTTTACACAAACATCCAACTAATGGAACATGTGTGCGTTTAACTTTGAGGTGCAAGATAGAAGCTGCTCAATGCAGGACTTTCAGAATTTCCATATATAATCTTACCACATCCCTTCCATAGTCTCTTCGTAGGAATCAGGAGACTTCGCCAGGCCAATTCTGGTCTCGGACAGCAATTTCATAGGATTTCATGTCTCTATCTTGGGAGCGAGAGTGAATCATTTGCAAAATTCTAATATTTTAAAATTATAAACTTCAGAAGGAAGATACCGTTTGAAGCCGACAAAAAAACAATCAGAGAACAGCAGTCTTTTTGTGTGCTGCCCAGAAATTCAGCTACAAAGTGGTCCTATTGTGTTTCTCATCATTTACATTTACTCTTTTGGCAAAGCAGAAAGGGAAAAAAGAAGCAGAAAGTCAAACTTGGAGGCATACAACAGAAATGAAAGAAGGCATTTTTAGTTTTAAATGTCCCCTTGACATTTTAGATCTCTACAAACCCAATAATTAACATTTACAGGAGATAAAAGAGTAAAAGAAACAGCAGCTGCCCCTCCGTGATGTCACTGAACAGGTGTGATACCAGGTTTCAGACCCCTGAAATCGGCTGGGTGGCTGGTTGGTGCCCACAGGAGGCCCATATGGAATCAGTATTGACATGGGTCTCATCCCCTCAGATATGCCCGGAAAAATAACCTAGGGCAAATGACAAGAGTCCTTATGACTGGTCTGTGCGGATTTGGAGCAGACATCCTTCCAAACAGATCAATACTATCCAAGGTGCAGCAGAAAAACAGGATGAGCTTGTATCATTAAACAAACACCAAGCTGCTTTTTCACATGCGCAAAAACAACACATCATTTGTGCTTTCCGTGGCGTATTTGCCAGTGACCTCAACCCTGACCTGCAGAACCACCCTCTCTGGGTTGAGAATCCTACCTTAGGTCTGATTGTGGGGCTGAGGGACTCTCACCGGGTGGTGACATGGTCTACTATGAGAGCTACTATATCTGCATAGGTCCCGCCAAGACATGATGACAAAGCGACCGGTCAATGCAGTTAATTTAATCGCGTGTCTGTCAAATGGAGGCAAAAAAAGGGAAAAGGAAAAGCAAGTAGCAGAAAGCAAATTTTAACTTTTTAAACCAGTTATCCTCCAATTGTGTAAAGACATCTTGGAATAAATTGATTTAGAAAACTTTTATGACACCAGGTGCTTCTGTACACACAAAGGGAAATAACTATCTAGATAAACCAAGCACTATTACTCACTCAGAGAAATACTTTTTTATTAACCTCCAAAGTTGTCTGTACTGTAAGTTTCATCTAGCCACCTTAACCCCCTGCAGCTGTACATTCCTTTTGATATCTCTATATACCTATAGATATAAATGAATAAGATTTAAGTCTAATGTAAACATACAAGTTAATATCTTTGTTACAGTGCTGATGTTGGACTGGTAATCACAAGGTCAGTAGTTCAAACCCACTAAAGCCCAACCAGGAAAAAATGAGGCTGGCAGCTCCCATAAAGATGGACAGCCCTGGAAACCCTAGACAGAGTCACGGTGAACTGGAATCAACTCGATGGCAGTTGAGTTGAGTTGAGTTGAGTTGAGTTGAGTTGAGTTGAGTTGAGTTGAGTTGAGTTGAGTTGAGTTGATGAGCCAGCATGGCAGCAGGGGGGCTGGGGTTTAGGGTTATAAAATGTAAGGAAAGCATAGTTCCGCCCCTTTGGGTTAAAATGTGAGCCTCTCTCCATCCAACAAGGTGGTTGGTTTCCTGCACAGCAGGCATGACTAAAAGGGATACCTTTTGCATAATCCTAATGTGAAAAGTCTATGCAAAGGACTGCGGCTGAGAGCCGCCACAGTAAAGGTGATTCAAAGAACAACAACAAAATCATCAAATTATAATTGGGGATTAAAACATTTGCAATGCCCATTGTTCGTATGATCAGAAAATCCAATCACCTAGCAACCAAGATCTTTTATGGATTTATAAAATTCCCTTTATTTTTGAAAAACGGAGATCACACGGTTTGATAGTCCTAACTAAAACAGAAGCTGTGTCTCTGGCTGCTCTTAAGGAGACAAATATCTTTAAAAGGAAGAAAAAAAAAAAAGAGGAAAAAAATCAAGTATCAAATTGTTGGCTTTCCCCTTTCCTTCAACTAAGTTTTCCCTGCAAGGGCGGGAGGGCGAGAAGGGGGGTTGGGGGAGCGGGCTTGAAGAGGAGCAAACAAACTTTGCCTCAGCACATTACCGTATAAGAACTATATCCATCTCCCTGAATCAAGAACAAATAAATTCCGTTTTGGAACTCTGCCATAGAGTGGCGGCTCCTGCAAAGGGGACAGTTTGCTATTAATTGTTAATGTCGTCTGCCATTAGAGGGCACTCAACAACTCCACATTGGTGCTGCGCTGGAGGGAAGAGAGAAAGGAAGATGGGGAAAGAAGGGAGGGCGAGAGGGGGGTGGGGAGAGAGTAGAGTCAGAGTCCTGGAAGAGGGAGGGAAAGAGAAGCCGGGAAGGGCTAGGCGGACGGTTGGTAAAGAGGGTGCAGGGGGAGCGAAAGAGAGAATGAATCTGGCAAGATTCAGAAGGATGTGGAGCCCCCCGGAGCCGTCTGAAGTGAGCAGAAAGCCAGCCGCCCCCGGGCCGCCCGCGCCCCTCCCCTCGCGTCCTGCCGACGGTGATTATAAAGCGAAAGGCAGCGGCGAGGTCACCGGTTTTTACCAGCCTGCTGCACCGAAGGCGCGCGGTGCAGGTGCGGCGGCCGCGGGTTTTGTGATTCATGCCCACTTTCAAAGGGGGGCGCAGGCCCGTCTGAGAGGCACCCAAACAACTGTCTTCTAATATTAGCACGGCTGTATTTCGGGATCTATTATAGTCTGTCCAGACAGATCCCATTGTAATGGGATCTTTTATTAAAAGATTAGCACTATCTCCTGCAGTTGGTGGAAAAAAATCTGTTATCACTGAGTTATTTG